TGTCTTGTACAATTCTGCATTTATTTGAATCATATAGATGTAATAAATCTGAGGTGAAACTTGTGATATGCACAGCCATGAAAATATTCTGTTATTCCTTCGACTATGAAATAAACAAACAGAGATTCACTTCTTCTTTTAGTTGAATGGTTCTTTTAAGATCTTGTCACAATTATTTCTAAATGTGATCATTGCTTAGGTAAATCTGAGGGTACAAAAGCATCCAGTAAACGGTCGGCTTCGGAAATCTCTACTCTGAAGCAAAAAAGGCAAACTACTCCTGATTCTTCCCTGTCATGGACAGATAAATATAAGCCCAAGGTTCCAAACGAGATTGTTGGAAATCAATCACTGGTAAGTTTGTTGTAATTTGCATAAGTTGCTTCATGCTATGGAAATCGTCTGTCCTATCATCTGAAAGCTGTAATATATTTGAGAAACTGTTAACAGGTTAACCAGCTTCATGCTTGGTTAGAACGTTGGCACAATCAATTTTCTAATGCTGGAAGCAAAGGGAAAGGCAAGAAACAAAGTGATTCTGGTGCCAAGAAAGCAGTGCTTTTAAGTGGAGCACCTGGTATAGGAAAAACTACATCAGCAAAATTGGTCAGTCAGATGCTTCATTTCCAGGCAATCGAGGTGGCAAAAATTTTTATTTATGTTTTTTAGATAGAAAATCTTGATTACTAATTCCATTGTGATTAATTGACCTAATGATTTCTTTTTGCCTGTATATTCATTCATATACATTGGTTAGGTTAATGCTAGTGACAGTCGTGGAAAGGCTGATGCTAAGATCTCTAAAGGAATTGGTGGAAGCAATGCAAATTCGATAAAGGAATTGGTTAGCAATGAAGCGTTGGGTGCTGGCATGGATCGGTTTGTTATGCTTTATCATTTCTTTTGTACGTGTATTTCTGGATATTTTATTTGTCTCTCGCAAGTTTCTGATAAGTTGATGTTGCAGTTCAAAGCATCCAAAAACTGTGCTCATTATGGATGAGGTTGATGGAATGTCTGCTGGGGATAGAGGTGGAATTGCTGATCTTATCGCTAGCATTAAGATTTCAAAAATTCCTATAATTTGTATCTGTAATGACCGCTACAGTCAGAAACTGAAAAGTCTTGTGAATTACTGCTTGCTTCTCAATTACCGGAAACCTACTAAACAGCAGGTATATTTTATCATCAAAATGGTTGTTAGTCATTATTTACAGTTGTAGTTAGATTAATCAAACTAGGATCTTTCTCGTTAACTTGATTACTTCTGGGATAACTGTTTCTTCTATTCTTTACATATGTACTTGTAAGCTAGAACTTCAATGAAATGAGCTCACTTTATTTGTTTGAAGAAAATAAATGAGTTCACTTTATGCCTCATGGTTACCTGAAATAAATCAATGAATGTGAAGCTCCTCATAGAGTTTATGACATGGGAAAGGATTAGTTCTTGACTGATAACCTTGTGGTATGTTAATTGTATTTTTGTTAAGACTATGTTATGTTAGCTGTAGTTTCTATTGTGATCCTTAGATGGTTAAATTGGTTAGCTACAGAGATCCATATAAAAACCATTTGAACCGACTTTAAATATATTGAACAAGCCACTAATGGATGCTCGTCAACTTCTTTATTCCTCTTAATTCTCTCTGTTTTCTTCTACAGATATCTCATACTGTTTTTATTTCTTTCTGATTTCTTGCTAACAATTTCCTGAAACTTTATTTTTATTAGTTTGCTATGTATTTGGAGGTTAATATTTTT